ATTATTATTATCATTATAATTATTATAATTATTATTATTATCATTATTATCATTATCATTATTATTATTATCCCTACTGTTATTATCAATAATAAAAATAATACTATTATTACAATTATTATAATTTTCATTATTATTATTACTATTATCATCATTTCCATTACCATTATCATTATCAACATTATCATCCTTATTAATATTATAGTCATTATGATTATCATAATAACAACAACAATCATAATTACCAGCTACATTCCAAACAATGTGGCTATTACATGAACATTACCTGAAAGTGTCCTGAAAACCCTGCCATCCAGTAACCTCTGCTGAACTCACCAGCAGATGGGCATCTCAACCCTTTTATACCTGTTCCTCCCTTGCTCCTTCCCCCCCCCCCCCCCCAACCACCACCACCTCCCAAGACAAGGGAGGTTGGCTCATATAGTTTACATACCACTGAGGCTAGTCAGAGGAATGAAATGTTCTAGAATATTTCTTGTGGTTGTGCCTGTTATATTTTCTAATTCTGATCTGCTTACTTTATCTTTGTGTATTAGTAGAATGGGAATTGGAAAAATGTGGACATAATATAAATTATCCTTCAAGCAAAAATGCTATAATCTAACATGTTGGAAATAGATGTTATTCTAAATAGTTATCCATATCCATATCATATCCATTGGATTCATGCAAAATTATATTGAAAAAGATAATATATTCCCTTTTCAGTAATCAAGCACAGGTATATGTATAGAAATATGATGCAGGCTTACTTGTTTTTACTACACAACATTTATGCAAATCTTGCCAGAGTTCTTAAAAAAAAACATAGGGTAGTGTTTCCTTGACTACTGTATACTTCTTTGGTTAACAATTTTTATCTGCATTAGTTCACAATTTGAAAATAACAAATAGCAAATTATTGAGCATATCATTTCGAAACATCCCAATAATAAATGAAAAATGCTCTGCTCTCTTTGAAGCACTGTACTATAGAAATCCTATGACAGGCCATATAAAGGATGGATATAAGTTACGTGATTAAGCAATCTTCTTCCCGGGCTGACCCACTCAGCAATCAATCATCTTGCACTCGGAGGCCAATTTTCAACATACTATGAAGATCTTATCTTTACATACATCTAATGATACACATACTTCCTTCTAAGTGGATATTAATGATGAATTTGGAACTGAGGACCAATTTTGAGTATAAATGAAGAGAGAGAGAGAGAGAGAGAGAGAAAGAGAGAGAGAGAGAGAGAGAGAGAGAGAGAGAGAGAGAGAGAGAGAGAGAGAGAGAGAGAGAGAGAGAGAGAGAGAGAGAGAGAAAGGAGGAGAGGGAGAGGGAGAACAAGAGAGAATGAGAGGGAGAGAGGGAGGGAGGGAAGGAGGGAGGGAGGGAGGGAGGGAGGGAGGGAGGGAGGGAGGGAGGGAGGGAGGGAGGGAGGGAGGGAGGGAGGGAGGGGGGAGGGAGAGAGAGAGAGAGAGAGAGAGAGAGAGAGAGAGAGAGAGAGAGAGAGAGAGAGAGAGAGAGAGAGAGAGAGAGAGAGAGAGAGAGAGAGAGAGACTGGCAGACAGACAGACAGACAGAGACAGACAGACAGACAGACAGACAGACAGACAGACAGACAGACAGACAGACAGACAGACAGACAGACAGACAGAGAATGAAAGAGAAGGGAACAGTAATTTGATTAAAGAGTGAAATAGAGGAAAGGAAAAAGATTGAAACTGAAAGTTAAGGTGAGAACAAGGATAAGGAGAGTGAAAGTGTATATAAGAGTAAAAAATAAGACCTTGGATGAAACCTGATAGGATTTAGTTTGAAATTCTGTCCCACACAAGTAATTAATAAAAGGGTTTAGAGAAAACGTGTCCTATCATTAATGCCCCTCTCATGAGCAAATGCAACCAGACATGTAAAATTCAAGGATCAGCCATTGAGAACTAAAAGCATGATTATCTGCCATCTCCATTACTCCATTCCCGTTACACCTAGTAACAAAACGTCCTTGTGGGCAGTGACCTTCACCTCGCCCATTCCTGCCCTTGCTACTACGTCATCCGCCCTTTCAAGCGGAATATGCCTGTGCTTGCAAGAACACCCTTAATTCCCTCTGATCGACTTATTTCCCTTCGAAGTGGATTGTCTAGATTCAACGAGCGTCTTTGGATCGGAGAGGAGTTGCTGTTAAAACCTCGATTTATTACCCGATTCTTAGAATGAATTAGCGGGGTTCACCCATACGCCGTCATTTTGCCCTTGGAAACAGCTGCTTTCGAGGGGGTGAAAACAAGCACGTGTATTCTCACCCTTAGCTGAGGCATGACACGAGTCGGGCAACCCTTTAACGTCCAAATGGATGTAAATAATCGCTCACCCGCGCAGAAGAAGTGGTCCTCAGAGTCGAACGGCCTGTGACAAAGCTCCTCTCGTGAACATCGACCCAAAACAAAACCACGTGAACTCCGCGATGTCAAAACATACGCACGTTCGAGTCTGGGCGATTTTCCTCATGTTTTTGGTTCTAGTTCCATGTTCCCTGTCATATTATAATGTTCTTTGGAGTTGAAAAAATATGTTTGTTGGTAAGGAATAGTATGAGAATGGAAATAAGGTTGTAACCCGAAAGTATTTTTTGCATAAACGTCGTTGGTGAAGGTCGGGAGGATAATGAAAGGGAATAGGGGGGAGGGGGGAGGGGGAGGGAGAAACTTGAAGCGATGCGCGGTTATCATTTTTGCAAACATCCACGCGAAACTGCATTGAATTTGAAGGAAATGCCCCTACACATACACCTCATCATTTTCTCTGGGTATTTTAGTCCTACTTACGTTATATTTCGAAACATATTTGCCACCGCAGTTATACAAATACACTGCACGCGAGCGTACACACACTCACACACACACACACACATACACACACACACACACACACACACACACACACACACACACACACACACACACACACACACACACACACACACACACACACACACACACACACACACATCTATATATATATGCTTAGTGTGTGTGTTAAAAGCAGTATAAGTGTTAAGGAATCGCATCTTGATATACTTGGATTCTTATTTTATATGTAAATGTTCCTTATGCCGAAAGTTAACAGTATATGAGGCAATCCTTTGTTCATCAGTAAATAGACCCCTAATAAGAAACAACACAGAGACAGCTTGTCCAAAGGAGGGAAGATGGTTTAAAAGCCTGAGAGACAGACCCTGCAAGAGAGTATGGTAGATGGTGGAGCTTATAGTGTTTAAGGTAGACAACCAAGCTGTATTTATTCCTTTATTAATCCAGGAATAATGCTGAAGTTTTTTTGTTTTTTTTTTCCTCAAAGGAGCGAAGGGCTGTTCCTCGGTCCCCTCATCACGTATAATGTCTAAGGATCGTTATAAATCACGTATTTTAGCATGTGACAACCGGTGATGAAGAGGGAAGTGTTGCAGCAGTACAAAAGCTCTCGCGGAAGGGGAAATGCAACTCAACATTGGTATGTCTAGTGCGGCAGGAAGAGATGAATAAATAGGTAAAGCCGTGGACATACGGACATGTATATATAATTGTGTATCTGCGTGTGTGAATATATATGTCAATATTTAAGATTATTTAAATTATGTGGAATATAATATATACACAAAATAACATTAACATGCAGATTTCAGTAATATGGCACATATATAACTGGGTTACAGATGGGTTGCTGCCGGGCTGGGGGCCTGGATGGGGGAGAAGGCAACAGTGGCCATGTGTGTGTTTGTGTGTGAGTGTGTGTGTGAGTGTGTGTGTGTGTGTGTGTGTGTGTGTGTGTGTGTGTGTGTGTGTGTGTGTGTGGTGTGTGTGTGTGTGTGTGTGTGTGTGTGTGTGTGTACGAGTGTGAGTGTGAGTGTGTGTGTGTGTGAGTGTGTGTGAGTGTGTGTGTGTGTGTGTGTGTGTGTGTGTGTGTGTGTGTTCTGACGAATGAAATTATCCACGCAAAACCCAGTATCCAGGTTATCCATTCAGAAATGACTAGGTTTGTTCCGGTCTCCTTTAACGCGGGCGCCTCGGTCTCCCAACCATCACCAACCTTGCGAGCGCATCTTCGCCTCGAAAAAAAAACGAAGTAGGCCTATAGCTGAGAAAAAATATATATATATTCTGAATGGATAACCTGCATATTAGGGATTGCATTAATAGTTTCATTTATCAAAGCAGAGTATAAACACTAGTAATAGGCACATTCTATATGTGTGATTAGGTATACATTATGAACACATATATGTGTATATATGTATTTGTGTGTGTCTCTATATATATGTATGTACATATATATATATATATATATATATATATATATATATATATATATATATATATATATATATGCCCATATGCATTCATGCAATCTTTGTTGTTCTTGTACTCTTTTCATACAAGCTAACCTAAAGTTTAGAGGGACCTCTCTCTCTCTCTCTCTCTCTCTCTCTCTCTCTCTCTCTCTCTCTCTATATATATATATATATATATATATATATATATATATATATATATATATATTCCTTATTTAAGAAACACATATATTATATCTGTCCTAAGGCAGGGTCGGTATCCGCTGTATCATAGTTCTACACGTGAAAATGATAATGCTAAAAACTCTCTAGAATGCATTTTTTTTTTATCCCACCTTGATTTCCTGCGCCCCAGCGAGTACAAACCAGTCTCCTTCAGCTTGTCCACATAAGGCATTTTATCATATCCTTTCATCAGCCTGGTTGAACTTCCTTCACCTTTTCCGTTGTTGTTGCTCTCTCTCTCTCTCTCTCTCTCTCTCTCTCTCTCTCTCTCTCTCTCTCTCTCTCTCTCTCTCTCTCTCTCTCTCTCTCTCTCTCTCTCTCTCCCCTTCAAGATAGGGCGACTAGGTTTGCATGAGGCCAGTTCGGTCTGACGTGTAGTGTTGCTATGGGCCGGTAGGTCCTCCCTCTGCCTCC